CATAGGCATGTGCACCATTACTGAGCTTCCGTCGAAGTTTTGGCTTCCCATAGTTTAGCTGCAGCAAATTATCAAAATTTTTATTCTATTCCTGTATCTGCTTCCAGTCGAGCTTGAAATGTTGAGGCGTTTGGTGCACATTCTTTCAGTTTTTTATCAATGCCATCGGATAACCTCGGATTTTCTTCGCCACTGGGTAGGACTGCATAGGCATAGCTGACCTCTCAGTGCAACTACAAAGCAATAAATAGCGTGGAGCAATCAGGCTGCAGTGCAAAGCAGGATTGGATTGGAGGGGGGGGGGGGGGGGGGGGGGTTGCTTGTACGGGTGTGGGCACTCACTCCGAATTTTGCGGTAATTATGTCCACCACAGAATGAAAGCGTCTACCAATGATTGGTCGAAAAGGGCTTAGTGGTTCGTTGGCTTACATTTTTGTACGAGCATCACTAAACCTTTCTGTCCACAGGACAGGTTAAACAGGATAGAGAGGGGCTTAGGGATGCTTAGACAAAATCTTAGCCCATGAACCACTATGTCTTTCTGTGCACTTCATAAAGCTAAACATTCAAGAGGGAAAATGGGTTGTTAAAAATCTAGGTTTTCTTTACCAGATCTAATGAAACTGCACATATCTCTTTAGTTTTCTTCATGGATACCACATATGCAATTATTCTTGAGATATCTCAATTATAGTTCTGAAATAATGAAAATAATTAGCATTGTTTCCAGGAATAACAGAGCAAAAACTATTCATCCTAACCTTGCTTTAAGCTCATAGCTAGATACTAGAAAACATGCAACTCACAAGGGTATGAATTTTTATATGACTACTAATAATGATTGTACAGCATATCAAAGATTTCTGTCCAAAATTAGACTAATTAGTTCAATGAATCACCAATAAAACATTCAAACTGAAATACAAAAATCTGCTCCTACCCTTGTGGACAATACACATGTAGCTTAGTACTGCAACAAGATTTACAATTCTAGGTTGTAAAGAGTATAAAATCGCCCGCCAAGGTGGTCTAGTGGCTAAGGCGCTCGGCTGCTGACCCACAGGTCGCGGGATCTAATCCCATACGCAGCATTGTCGATGGAGGGGAGAATGCTGGAGACTTGTGTGCTTAAATTTAGGTGCACACTAAAGAATTCAAGGGGAGCGAAATATCCGCAGCCCTCCAGTATAACGTCTCTCATAATAATAGAGTGGTTTTGGGATGTTAAACCCATCAATTATTAGAACCCCAGGTGGTCAAAATTTCCGGAGCCCTCCACTACGGCGTCTCTCATAATCGTATGGTGGTTTTGGGACGTTAAACCCCACAAATCAATCAAATCAAACCCATCAATTATTATTATTATAAAGAGTGCAAAATAGTCAAATCTTGAGAAAATTGAGAAAAATAAGTAAAGCAGAATTTGAACCTCATGTCCCACAAGAAGTTCAGATTTTTTCAGTGAGTGATAAGAAGCCGCCAGGGATATAACCTGCATGCCTACTGCTGTAGCATACCTCATTGAGCAGCAGCACAGCATGAATAAGCCCAGTTTCGTGCTTTTTTTATTTCCAATTAGAATACAGTCGAACCTTTATCTTAAAGGCACTGATCTAGGAGAAGAATGGGTATAAGACACTTGTGTGCCTACAGTAAAATGCGGGTTGATAAGAAAATGCATACGGGGTACCCTGCTTATAAGGGACATCTCACATAAGAGACGAGAATCACTGGCTAGAGCATGTCTTTTTCAAAGGGGTTTAACTGTATAGGCTATCTTGGTAGTACAAATTGCTGTTATGGCCAGAATATCAATCCAAAGTGTGTAGAACTTTGTCAGTACTTTATGCCTGTGGATTAGATAGAAATGATGCTTGCAAAAAATTGATTTTTTTAATGATTTTGCTCATTGAAAGACCAGCGTCCCAGGAGTCCGCTCCAGGCTTTTTGCGAACCCACCGCATTTTATTATAAATTAATTTAGGAGGCATTCATCTGTAGTCTCAGGGATTATAAACTGTGGCAGATAACGAATTTGGTAAATTTGCCACTCAGTTTTCATAGGGCGAAAATTCTAATGTTCTGAACACTTTTTCAAAACGCGGCGTGTGATATGAACTTGTGTACCAAAACCGTCCAACGAAAGCTGATTGAGAGCAGCATGCTCGAAGCTTCAGAAGAACACGTGCGTCTAGTGCACACATTGTTTTCTACAGTGTATGTGTTTGTTGCCACAACCTCTGTGTACGAAACCGCGGTCGTTCTTGACATGATCATGTCAAGAACGACCGCGGTGACAGTACTCCGAAAGTGTGCGCACGCCCGACGCTCAACCAGTCAAGGCAACGCTTCTTTCCGCAAACTTTGTGGACAAGACCGCGGCATATGTGATCATAGATAGCATAAAGCGTCTTAGTTTTGCAGGCACGTGCGCAACCAATGTACACGGATTGAAAGCGGAACTACAGTTGGCCACAATCGCCGCACACAACACTGAGGGCAAGTGCCTAACGCAGCAGTAGATTAAAGGCAGTAAAGACGTAAAAAAAAAAAAGGTAGAAACATTTTGGTGTTCCTGTCCAAAGAATCTATTAGCGAGCAAAGCCAAAGTTTTGACACTGCGCCGTCCCGTTCTTTCATGTGTGTCCCAGGAAGACACACGTGAGTTGTTTTGAAGTAAATAAATTTTGCTAGTTGTTTTGATGACGCGAAACTTAGGCAGTATTTGCGCTCCCTTTTGAGACTCTCTCCTTAGTGGGAAACCTACCTCGATCGTGGGCTCGGCCATTCCAAGCCAATATAAAACCGCAATGCCGATGTTGGCGCTTGCAATTGGGTCTCCCCCACCCCCTCTTGTTTTTGCACAATATCTTTTTTTGTTGTTGTTTTCTTTTGGGGCCTAAAAAACGCCAGGCCTGCGCGGAAGGCACAGCACAGTCATAGTGAAAGCTAGAAAAGCGGCCTTTCAGACCCCCACCCAGTTGCGGAAATCTCCCGGATTCAGAATCCTTTAACTTGGCAGCTATGCTTAAGTTTCTATACACCTTTCCATAAAAGGCTGTCTTGGCGTAGCCATTATCCCCTTTGATCTGAGCTAAACAGGCGTGACTCCCCAAAAATGCACTGCCGAGGCTGCAACATCCGCCTTTGTACTCCCGTGCTACAACCCTCAAATGAGGTGTTTTTCTCCTGCGAAAAGGTCTATAGTGTTTTATTTTGTCCTGTAGAGTGCACGTCATGTACAGTGTAATATATGCAGTCAAGTTTAGCACTGTGTAGAGCGTTAAAAAAGTGTGGTTTAGTGTAAAGCAATTGTAACAAATTTAAATTATTGTATTTATCTTGCTCATTGAGGACAGCTATTTAAAACTGAGTGTAAAGTGAACCCTTACCTCTTATCACGTGCACAAGCTCACTGATATACATTCTAGGATCAAGTGACAAAAGGTAGCAACAAATAGACATTAAAAATACTCATTGCAGCAAGGTATAGTTGCTTCACCTATTTCAGGTAACATCCATGCTATTCATTTGATTCTCCGCTGACTTGCTTGTAGAGCAGCTGCAAGCCGTAATTTATAGGAGGGTTGCGCAGGGGCGTGCCCCACGAGATGGCACCAGCGTCGAAGGGATAGCGTATCCATCTTTGTGGTCTCTCTCCCGGCCGTCGCCGGCAGTCGCAGAACGTACACTCACGGGTGTCTGCACGGACACAGAAATCTCGCACGGGCGTTCGTGCGAGAGTCCTGTGGTCATAATGGTGAACTGTGTTGTATTTGGTTGCTACAACCACTCGAGTAAGAAGCCTGGTCATCAGAATGTGTCTGATGTCGGCTTTTTTTCCATACCTAAAGTGATTGTGAACCAATCGGAAAAGTTTAGATGGCTCAGCCACACACTGTACCGCGTGTACATTAAACATTTCATTTTCTGTAAGTGGTGAGGACCTATGCAACATCATAGATGTTTGCTTTTCTGACTGCAACCTTAGGTTTTCGCGACGTGCTATGAAGCTTTGTGTACGCAGCAGAAGACGAGCGCACGCACTATGTCTGCGATCGCTGCTTATCAGCAGTATCATTCAGGTAAGTGCGGCGTGTTACTGATTTTGGTGTGTTAGTAAACAGTCAGCGATGCAGTGCGGTCATGCCGCAAGTGCGTTCTCGTTTACCCATGCTTTGACGAAAGCATACTGCGGCGCTGACTGTTTAAGAGAATGGTCAGCTAAGCACATACACTCACAGTGATATCACATTAACGTCGATCAGTTACAATCGAGACGATATGTGATCTCTGGGTGCACAACTGCCCGACGCACATCGTTGGACCCTACAGCAAAGAGCACTTTTGATCACAAGTGGCTTGGGCTCAACCACAAACGAACTACGCCAATTTTATCACCTCACATGCTCTTGCAAACGGTGAAGCCCTTCCACACAAAGAATTCGTGAAGCAATACCACCGCGATAACAAAAATTATTCGTTCGAGCACTGCGCAAGGGGAACCAGTCACGTTTCCGACGACGACGCGGCAGCTGTCTCCGATGTCTCTAACTCGGTGCTGTTAGACCCATCTGCTAGTCACATAGCTGTGGGTGTCTAGCGATTCATAGGCTTTAAGCTTGTCCCTTGTTGCAAAGCTTGTGCCGCCAACAAGTTGGTCTTTAATGTCCGTGAACTCGATGCAGGAATAACACTTCACATCACAGACAGCTTCATTGCTGCTGAAGTCGAACGGGTCGATATCTGCCGCAATGGTGAACCTTATGTTCGTAGCGAAGTTTCGCCGGATTTCAAAAGTCACTCGCGTAAGCACTCAGTAGCATTTAACCACGTTGGTACCGTACATAACGGAATGCACACATCCTCTCACTGCCGCTCGCCGCTTTAAAAAGGGCGCGCCCAGACCACTGAAATGGTGGTAGAAGCAATAGCCGCTAGCGCCTCAAGCGGGTGACGTCACGTGCAACCCTCCTATACTGTGACAAATTTTGTGCAGGTGGCCCACTTGGAAAGGACTGGCCACTATTTGACAATCAAAGACAACCAGGTTGTGCAGCTCCATCCATCAACTTGTTTGGATCACAAACCTGAGTGGGTGGTGTATAATGAGTTTGTCCTCACCACCAAGAATTACATTCGTACCGTCACAGACATCAAACCTGAATGGTGAGTATTGCCCACAGCAAACTCGACTGCTTAGGGTGCACTTATTTGGGGGAATGAAATGCCTTTATGTGAGTGTGCCGAAGTGTCTTTAATTATTACCTGTTTACTCTCTGCATGTGTTCTGAAGCCTTTGGTTTATTGTTTACAACTTTCTTGGGGCTGTCCCAGGTAGTGCTGTATGTATGTGCCTATATATAATGAAACGATAGGGGCTATTTATAATGCTTTGTGCTCCAATAACAGTAGAGGTGTGTTTGTCATTTTGTGTTAGTGAAGTCGCAGGATTGTCTGCTAGCATCTACATAAAGAAAGGCTACGCAGAAGCTGAGCTGTAGTCTTTTGCTGTAGTCTTTCACAGAGCTTTCAGACCAAGAAAATGCAGCGGTTTCTATTGACATCCAGCCGTGAATGGTCAGCAGATCTCACTGTGCTCCTACAAATAGACATGAACCTAATGTTCCAGTATTTTTTTTTGCTTATAAACTCATCTATACAGCAACTTCAGAAGGTGTACTAATTTACAACCTGCCTTATATCAAACTGTTGTTCTTTAGTGACATGCATTAGACCTCAGATATGTATTCAGGGGAATTCTTTGCTGTCGTGGAGATGTGTCTGCCAAATTTCTATTGAGAAAGAAATGTGGAATCCAGTGAAATACTTTCCCTTCTTAGTAACCATCGGGATTTTAAACACCCATCAGAGATTGTAACCATGTTATTTCTGTGCAACCTATGCAATGCTCTTCTTGTCTCTTTGGGTCTCTCTTTTTTTTAGCTACATGTATCTCCATACCCTCATAATTGCTTGTTACATAAGCAGTTCATTGTGAAATGAACAAGAAGAAAAGTACCGTAATTACTCGATTCAACCGCGCCCTCGATTGTAACGCGCGCCCGGTTTCGACGATGAAAAAAAAAAAGTAAGACATCGATTGCAACGCGCACCCATTTTTCTCGTTGGCCCACACGATCACACCACTCGAAAAAACGACTCCTTTCGGGAGCGTCTTCCGTTTAAATATGAGGTACGGAGGAAGCTTGTGCCCACCTGACGTGTAACAGAGCATTGCCGTCACTGTAGTTTTACCGTGGACCGATGTCAGCACGCGAACTTGCTTCGCCCCCTTCTTCTCGACGGTTGTGGTGCTAGGCATGTCGAAGTAAAGAGGCGTCTGACCGGCATTCCTGATTTGCCCGAGTAGGTATCCGTTGTTGTGCCGCAAGTTTAGGACGAACCTCTGAAAACTGTGAAGCTTTTAATCGTACTCCTCTGGAAACTTTTCGCATATGCCCGTTCGCCTTTGGAGGGAAAAGCCTTTCCTCTTCGTAAAGTTAGTTAACCAGCACCTGCTCGCTTTAAACTGGCTCCGCATTAGCCCTTTTTTTAAGGCTAACTGCATAGCCTGCACTTGGAGCAGTTCTGTCGTCACGAGCCGCTGTGCCGCTCACTGCTCAATCAAATACTCGCGAAGCAGCTCTTCAATTTGCGGAAACCGACCCTGCTGTGGTCCACTGAAGCCTTTGCGTGAATCTTTGCTGTCGACAATCTTCTGCTTTTGTTTCCGCCAGTCCCACACGCACGTTTCGGGAACTCTGAACGACCCCGATGCGGCCCGATTTCTGTCCATTTCTGCATACGCGATGACTTTTCGTTTAAAAGCGGCATCGTCGTGCACTCGAGTTTTTGTAGTCGGCCCTTCCATGTCGTCAATGCTAATGCACTACAAGATGACGAACTCCTCAGCACACGTACGAAGTACTGCATATGGGAAACACATAGGCAGAAATGGCCGTCGCACCATGCCAACGCAGGTAGGGGGCGGCCATTTTGAAAATGCCGACGGCAATAGAATGACCGTATCCATTTTTTTTTTCGTACTCGATTCCAGATTCCAACGCGCATGCGATTTATGAACTCTCTTAACCGGAAAAAAGGTGCGCGTTAGATTCGAATAATTACGGTATAGCAACTTGCACGCACTGAAAGCTGTTGACATAGCTAAGTGCTCGTGAGAAAACTTCCGCTGCCGCTTGGGACTTCCTAGGGCTTAGAATTAGAAGTCTTGCCCGTTTTCGGAAAGATTGTGGCCCAAATAAATGCCCGCTCTTTTACCCACCTATAGCCAGTCTCCTCTATGCCTCTACTCCTTGCACCCACCTGGTGTCCCAAGTAACTACGGATACGGTAGGCATACAATGGAACGTACATTTTGGATATTCTGGACATTGGATGTTTATGAACGTATACTGTACGTCCGCTGTACATCAGTTGTGCAACGGTAACAAATTTGTTCACTCGACATCGGTCTTTTTTACTCATGCAATGAACGCACTTTTTTTATCGAAAAATTGGATCAAAGTTGGGTGTGCGTTTATTATGTGGGGAAAATTTTATGCAAACTTTTTCTGGATGAGCAAAAAAGAAAAAAGTTAGCTCGCTCAGCCTTTTGCAATTGACGTAAGTGTACACTGTTTGGAAACAGCTTCTATGTTGCACTTCACTTATTTTCGGTGGTTGATGGCACTATCTTTTGCAAGTTGTCTCCGTGCCGCCCGCACACGCCATATAAAAGTTTTTTCGTCGATATCAAGATTAATGACAAAAAACGGACGCCGCCTCGCTGTCCACATATAAACTTACTGAAGATACGGTAGCCTACATCTTGCCTTTCTTGAAGTATGTGCGGATAACAAGCATGAAGAGCAAATTGCAACCGAAGCAAGAATCGGGTACGGCCATGTTGCAGAAATAGTCGCGACCTTTTCTGGGGGACAGGCTTTTTCTTTTTTTCTGGTTTTTCAGAAGCCATGGTGACAGCAAATCCTTTCGTCGTTGCTCGAAAATTGCATGCTTGTGGTTGGGCCTTGATGTTTCGTATTTGCAGGAAGTGGCCGTCGGTTGGCACGGGCAGTTTCGTGACCTTCACTCGCCTTGTGCTTATCAGCTGCGATGTCTCTACACTCGCACTGTTTGTGAACTCCACTTTGGCGCATAGATAATTAAAAAAGTCTAGACGTGCTGCGCACAGATAAAAAAAAAAAATGTGGCACGTAGTAGCGGGCGAGGGGGCAAGAAGCCTCCATGTGTTGGTTAGCGAGACTACAGCCAATGAATGTAGGGGTGTGCATATATTACATGGGGGGGGGGGGGGGGGTTCCAGATTTTGACGACTAAAGTTGGAGGTGCGTTTATTATGCGAGTGCGTTCATTATGCGAGTAAATGCGGTATATATTGATATATGTGATGTGTTTGTGTATATGTAGCTAGTGCATATTGAAGAAATCTGCATGTGTACGACATACCCACACAGCCTACTTGGAGGCCTGTCTGTTTTCCACGGCAGCTTTTCTACTGCAAATAAATTCTCAAAAAATGGGGGCGAAGCGGGCTTTTAAGAACAGTCAAACCTTTAACTTATACATGAAGGATAAGAAACACAAAAGTCAGTCCACAGTTGCACTTGGGAAGTCTTGACATAATCTTGAAGATTTCACTGTTCAATGCCCTATTGCATTCAAGTGCGATGACTTCTTCGGCGGCAAGAATTGGTTTTTGCGGGTTTTATAAATTAGGTTATTAGTAATAAATAAAGCTCATGCATGTTTATAACAGTGGTATTCTAGTAACTGCAATACGTGCACACATACTACAAGCACTGGAGAAAAAACAACCTGTGTAGCACATGCATCTAAAGAACGTGCACAGGCACCAATCATGAGTGCGTCTTTTATTGGCTAATAGCAAGGAATATGTGAGCGAATGAAGAACTGAAAACACGCCCTGTACAGTCAACTCTGGTTAATTCGAGCTCGAAGGGACCTCTGAATTTTGTTTGAATTATCAAGAAGTTTGAATTATCAGAAGTTCTCAGATGTGACTCGGGTGAGGTGACACCACACATTATGATTAGGCATTGATTTTATCACATCGGTCCGCTGACCGCAGCGGATATCTATCGGCAGGACAATGCAACTTCAAAAAAAAAAATGCATTGCCGTAGCCAACCACACTTCGTGGGAACTATGAATTTCCTAGTCAGCAAACGCGTATGGCATGTTAGAGGCTTAAGCTGGAAGCGTACAAACTCAACGCGTTGACCACGTTCGTTGCCATAGCAATGGCACAAGCAATAGATATCCGGTATCATTGTCAGGCCAATGGGCGCATGCCGTTATTAATTTATTTGGTCAAATGCGCCTTGCAAGCGAGCTGAGAAGTTGTGCTCTAAACCTAACCCCTTTGTGAAAAAAAGGGCGGGGGGGAGGTAGTGGTCTGAAAATTTTTTGACCTTGTTCTAACCTGGTGCAGAATGACACTTAAGCCACCTTTGCCCATAGTATGCCAGTGGCCTGCGGAAAAGCGTTTTAAGATTTAGAAGGTGCTTGTAGTAGTAGTCAGTAGACACAGGACGAACTGCGCGGCATATACACACACTTATGTGTGTATACGCCGCGTAGTTCGTGAGTACTAATATGATCGCTCGTGTCTAAAGTAACTGGCAATCATTTGGAGTACTGCACAACATTTGTGCAATTTTAACAAATCAAACAACACTGTGGCAACACTGTGCACCAGCTCTCTTTTTCTTTTTGTTTTTTCACCATCCCTGCCCCAGTTTTATGAATCACCCGAATCTCAAGGTCACCATCTTAGACGATGCATAGTTGAATTTTCTGAGCCTGTCAAACTATTTGACAGGCGTGGAAAATTCTAATGTGGGCTTCATCATTGTTTGCTGAGTATGGTGGTTAAAAAAAAATACTAGTTTTTTGAAATGGCAGTGCTTACGTTCCCTTTATGTAATTTATGGAATGTTGAATGGCTTTTTTTTTTTTTCTGAATTTAATGCCTGTTTCTCAAACTGCTCCAAATTTAATCTTTCGCAATAAAAGTATAATGTTCTTTCTCCTGTTACCAGCTCCAAATTTGGATTTTAGTGCTGCAAAAGCAAGATTTTGCTGCTCCGAAAATTTCTCCAAGTTCTATTTTGACTGTTGCACCCCTGCAAGTGTCGACTGTGCACAATCCAACGTTCCTGAATTTTTTTTGCTTTTGAAAACTGAGGAGCATGGCCTCTGAGATTGTTGGACAGGAGGTTTCTCTTCAGCTATCCCGATCGCACGGAGACGGCGTAATTTCACGAGTGGGCATCGCTTACTCCACCACATTGCGCCGCTTGCAACCGAGGCGTCACGGAAGCCCATGCAAGCGCTAGGAAAGCCACTGCAGTTTCAGTACGACATAGAGCTACTGTATGGTGTCCCACTGACATGGAAGTGTCAGGTCCAGGTCATTGTGTGCAGCAGTAATGATCGGGTTAGAACCACACAACAACGTAATGTGCATTTAACACGCTGTGCACACAGTGGTAACATCGAGATGTCTTTTCTCTCAGTTGAGCAACTACGGTTACCCAGTGTAGGTGCATAGCACCGCACCTGTGGAAGGTAACCACTGAAATGCTCAGTTTAAGCAGCATGAGCGTGCTACAAAGAAGTAAGGTCCAGTGCACGCTGAAGAGGGGCGCTAAATGAACCAACCGAACTTGTCACTCAGCATCAGTCATGCTTCCTTCTCACGATGTCATTACTGCTGCCAGGTCTGAAACAGCCAGACAGACCTGCGGTAAAGGTGAAAGCTGAGCTCTTATAGCTTTTGAACCTCTCTAGCGGTATGTTTTGCACTTTTCTGATAGCTTCCTGCATTTTGCTTTCAAAATACACATTATATATATATATATATATAACGCACGCGCTTAAGTGCTTGCTGCATGCTTCTTTCACGTGCTGGTGCGCAAACCTGCCTAATGGTGACTCCGCCATCAGATGATGTCAAGTTCATGCCTTTTATACATTTATTTATCTTTGTATAAGTGAAATAACATTAAATGGAATGTTTTCATTATGTTTGGTAAACTTCACAGTGCTCATAGAGAAATCTCAACAACTGTTGTAAGAGTTAATTGTGCGTCGCGAGCGTCTTTCTTTTTTTTTTACCATTTAAGACTTTGAAAGTGATCCTGGCTACTCATTGTTTTAATTATTGAGGTATACGTTTATGTTTGTCTAAATGAAATAACACTACACTGGACATTTTGAATATATTTGAGGAACTTCATGCCCTTGCTGGAAAAAATCCCAACTACTTTTGTGAGCTTTAAGTGTATATTGTGATCTTGAGAGACTAGATGTTTGTGTTATAATTTATATATTCATTTATTGTGAATGCTGTAAATGAGTCATTTTTGAAAGTTTTAGAGAGGACCCGCAGGTCGCGGGTTTAAATCCCGGCTGCATTTCCGATGGAGGCGGAAATGTTGTAGGCCCGTGTGCTCAGATTTGGGTGCACGTTAAAGAACCCCAGGTGGTCAAAATTTCCGGAACCCTCCACTACGGCGTCTCTCATAATCATATGGTGGTTTCGGGACGTTAAACCCCACATATCAATCAAAGTTATAGAGAGAAAATTTTCAGCTTTGGATGCGGCTCTGAGTTTTGAAAAATCTGCGATAGGTCCTGGAAAATCTATATACTTGAATTTTTTCCTGTTAAATCTGCACGAACCCTGATTAAGACGAGTGTAATTATCAGTGAGATGGCGAACTATGCTGAGGAAGGCATGGCGAGTTTTGTGAAACAAAAAAGTTCTTTGATGCCATTAATGCCAGTAATGATAGCCACTCACAATTGTATCTGATCGATGTGACATACATGGGGTAGTTAGGCTGGGTTGATAGTTGACTGCTGTGTATATGTTGAAGGGACTAGCTGTCGAGCACTCGGATTGTTACATGTACTTATCACAAACTGGATAGCATTCTGGTCCAGCAATGGCAATGATGTGGTTGTGCCATGGCAAACTCTTTGTCACAGACATTTAGTACACTGCTTATTTAAGGTGTCAACTATGTCTTATGCGCATTGTCACAAACCATTGCTTACATTGATGAGCACAATGTACACAAGTGTGCATTGATCATGCTGTCACATATGGGCAATGGCTGTGTGAATAGAAATGGGCCTATAGAAATTTCGCTCGCTCAGCCTAAGCTTATATTGTTGACAAGTCAAGTAAACTATGGGAGAATGAGAACGAAGGCAGGACGGTGCTTTTGCACGTGTCAATCTTGTTGACAAAACCGGTTCGCATCAGTGCTTTCCTTTTTCATTCAAGTAATCATACACTTTATCAAATTTTTTGTGACAAAGAATTGTTAACTCATAGTCGATTGAGGGCTAAAACCAGTAGCCAGCACCTGAAATGCTGTGCCATGTAGACTGGTTTCGTTTCGTTCTCAAGAGAAGAGGGCAGATGGCACTTACAGCACTGTCCTGAATTCGGGAACAGTAGCCATGCTGCTACTACCGGTAAGCCTAGCATATGCGTGAAAATTCGAAAGTGCCACTTCTTCGACTTGATATGCATGCGATGAAGTCCATGCAGTCAGTCCAGCAGGTAGACTCTGCCCATGTGTCTGTTGTAGACCTTTTCTACGCTAGGGCAATCATTCTAACGGAACTCTTTGGCTAAGAGAAAATGAGTGTCGTACTAGCACACGCACGATAACTCCATATCAAATATCGTGGTTGCGAGTTCCTCTGAAACACCACGTCCTTTAGATTTCAGTTCCTTTTCGGTTTTCATGTGGCACTTTGGTTGACTATTCGCCCTCACCATACTGAGCGACAAAATTCCATCTTGTGGTAGAGTGACCTGTGATAACGAAGACGCATCCATTGTGCTGCCGTGCTACACCTTCACCACATGACACCTATATCCCCTCCCTTGAATTTCCTACTATCTGCAGCATGGTAATTGCTAGTTTGCGGGACTGAGCCGCAGTCGCAGAGGAAATTGAATTACCGAAGCTCGCAGGCTGCGCATTACATATATTTGTCCTGCCGTTTACTGGACAGATGGCACTGCGACACTAATTTTGTCTTGCAAGTTCACACCGTGTTAAATTTGGCACACACCGATTTCAGGTTCTCTGCTGTAGTTGCGAAACAACTTCTAAGAACTAATAATTGGTTTTAATTTATGAGATCATACAGTATGCCAAAATATTTTTTCTCTATTTGTGAGGGAAAAACGTACATAGAAAAAAAAATACCGATTTCTCGCATTTCCCCCCTCCGAGTTGCATGTCGCATATCAAAATGCACTTGCCCTGCTTTGCTTATCGCTCAAGACATATGGAATCACTTTCTCATTATAAATTCATATAACTATGAAAATTACTTCGATGGTATCACATTCTCTAATGGAGAGCCCATACCCGCTAAAAAAATGGTAAACGGTATGTGCCAAATATGGGACGCCGTGCAGTAAAGGGTTAAACGATTGTTTCCATTTTGCTCCTCTTAATGTCTAGCTGTCAGACTTCAATTCACTACCTCTTCAGTGTATATCAGGTTCATTGTGATTGTGGGTGTGTGGTGTGCCCTCTTATCAATGTATCAGAACAGCAAACTAATCAATGTTCATTTTGCAGGTTGGTCAAGATTGCACCCAACTACTATGACATGTCGAACTTTCCCCAGTGTGAAGCAAAGCGCCAATTGGAATTTCTCATAGCCAAAATGGAGACTGTGCAATACCAAGAAGGATTCTAAAGCACATAGTGCACAGCTGGCATCTGTACAAAATGATTATTCATGGCTGTCTCTTTTTTTTTTTCATAGATCATGGAATCATTTTTTTTTTTTTCACTTTTGTTCTAGCTGCACTCTGGCTCTATCTGTGGGCCTATTGCCAGTACCTACCCTTGCTTGCCTCTAAGGTTACCTGTGTATTGCTTTTAATAAACATGGCTTTCACAGGGGTCTTTATTTGCTATGAGTGTTTTTTCAATGCCAGTGCAAACGCACGCTTCTCAACAGGAGCCGTTGGTCCGCCTTAGTTCAGGGAGGTGTGATGCGGCACGATGAGCTGAGTTACTGTATATGCTACCTTTCTTTTGACGATGCAATAGACGTGTTTCCCACTTCAATATCGTACGTCTGTCAGATTTGTTTTTTTCTTTAGCTTCATATTTGTGGCTCAAAGTAATGCCACTGCTGCATCGTATCGCTGTTAAAGCCAGCGCATGCAGTAGCATTGTAGTGACGCTTTCACATTGGTTGCCTGCATAGCGCCACGAACGACAACACGCTATCTTAAAACATCGTATCTTTTACAGAGCCAGTCTTACAGCCAACATTATGAACACGAGGAATTCAAGACACCACCCCATGGATCTGTACACAACTGAACAAAAAATTCATATGATTTCTGTTGTGAGACACTATATGATGGGCTATCTCTCTCCTCATGATTACAAATCACTCTCAAAGGCTAGGCAATGGGCGAGAACAGCAAAGGGCTAGGGGAGAGGGTTATGAACGGCTGGATCGGGTGCATGTGGCTGGGAATGATATGCTCACTGGACCAACAAAATTAGTGGAACAGTGAAGTGAAAGAATGCTGCATAAAAAATGATGGGTGATCTCTTTTACGAGAATACATTGAAAACAAATATTGAAAACAAGGTGTATTTAAATTGTACCAGCATGGCAGCCTTTTATGTGGATGAAACTGCATTGACCTATAGTGCTACATCTCTTCCAATTTGGAAACAGGTGTTAATGGCTGTTGCAGAATATTCTCTGAGAGCGGGCCAGACTATCAAAGAGGACGAAGTGAAAATAGGCACGCACTAGGAATGGAAAGCTTGGGCTCCATGCAGAATATTTGGGTCGTCTCCGTCTAACGTCTGCGGACCGGTTATTTTATTACATTTGGTGCACGAAACCCGGGATCCGCCCCTTCGGAGACTTCTCTGCACGTCACGATCATGGCGACCACTGACCATTTTCGGAAGAAGCGCGCCTCGATCAGAGCTGGTGTCACCCGAGCCCTAGCACTGTTATCGGACCTGCTACAGCAACCAGATTCTGATGCCTCCCAAATTACCGGCCACATGGATTTCCTGAAGGATAAAGAAGCAGCACTGTCGAAGCTCGATGACGTCATCCTTGTGACGACAGATGAAGAAATCCTCGACCACGAAGTAGGAACGGCACAAGAATACGAGAAAATTGTCTACGCGATGTCGCCTGCCAAGTGCTGGCTTCAAGAACGTGAGAGGACGGCCAGAACGCAGGTTCAAGCAATTGAGCTTGGGCCTAGTTACCTCGCATCTCCGAACTCCGCGGACGCAGCAGGCCTGGTGAGAGAGCGCACCGTCAGCGTTCAGTTCAACTACCGAAGCTACAGATACCGACTTTCGATGGTAGTCTCCGTGGATGGCAGTCTTTTTGGGACCATTTCGACGCTACCATCCACAAGAATACCGAGCTGCCACGCATCGAAAAATTTAAGTACCTCCTCACCTACTTGACCGGGAGCGCGAAACGAGCTGTCGAAGGCATTCGTCTAGCGGAGCAAAATTACCACCTTGCAATAAAGACCCTCACAGATCGCTTTGGACGCCAGGATCTCCTTGTGAACGATCATGTTGACAATCTTCTTGCGCTAAGCCCTCTGAAAAGCTCGTCGGACGTTCGAAGGCTTCGTCTGCTGTACGATAGTGTGCAGTTCCACGTTAGTGCCTTGGAAGGCCTAGGGGTTGCGCCCGACCGGTACACTGTGGTCTTAAACCGTGTCCTAATGCGATGTCTGCCGGGGGATCTCGCCATTATGTATAGACAGAAGTCCAAGCAATCGAACTGCGCCTCCAGCATCGCCGAAATGCCCGAAGACGATGCGGCTAGCCAAGGATTCACTTAAGTTTCCCCGCATTCAAGTGGAAATCCGGGAAGAGGGCCGCTTAGTCTCATCGTGTGGCGCAAGACGAAGCCAGAACCCACATATCCGAAGAAACGTACGGCACAGAAATCATATCGTCAGCGTCTGCCCTAACGGGGTCTACCTTGCCTGTTAGATTGGCGTGCCCACTCTGCCACAGCAAGGATCATATGATTGCTGCTTGCAATGCCAACCTATCGGCTGAAGAGAAGCGGGCAAGACTACAGAACACCAATTGTTGCTTCAGCTGTGGAACACGAAAGCACATCGCTAGAATGTGCAGGAAGTCATTCAATCTTAGGTGTGGTACCTGCCAGCGACGCCACCTGACCATACTCTGCGAGTTGTCACGCCCAGCCGAAGATCCACACCCCAACGCAGGATCCCCAGCCTTTTCTCAATCACCGCCATTAACCACGTGAACGGTCACTACCGCCCAGTGTCACGTTGAGTTCACGCGCGTATTGTTACAGGCAGGTCGAATTTGGGCAGAGCCTGGAGACCACCGGTTTCTCGTGCGGGCACTGCTGGACAGCGGCAGTCAGCGCACCTACATTTGTACAGACATGGCAAGGCTGTTTCAGTGCTCCGTTGTGGGAAAAGAAGAGCTCTCCCTTGTCACTTTTGGAGAATCCAAGTCACGGAGGCAACTCTGCACCGAGCGTGTCAACGTGCGGCTTCGAAGTCAGTTCAACGATTCAGCGATTACTTTAGAAGCGTTAACGATCCCTGAAATTTGCTCTGTCACAAGCCCACCACTCGACTCCAACATTTCGCACCTACTTCGTGAACGGAAGTACAACGCAGCTGACCGATTTCAACCGAGTACGTGACAACCGGACGAGATCAGTGTGACCATAGGATCCGACGCCTATCGGAAGGTCACCACCGGCAAAATCGACCGCGTGACTGAAACGCTAACAGCGATAGAGACAATGTTTGGCTGAATTGTGCAAGGACTCTTGTCATGTGACAACATCCAGCGCCCCAACATCCAGCGCCCGTCTAGCACACTGTTCGCCTTGAGCCACAATCTTTCTGCAACACACACAGACATATCTTCGATGTGTCGTTTTGGTGCCATCCGGAGCGATAAAGGGCATTCACGAACCTCAAACAAGCACCACGATCTATCTGTATGGGAGCAAGGTATCTCCTCAAGAAAGAAGTGCCATCAGCCTGACTACGCGGTTGCTCGCGGCAGGAACTTGGAAGACGCAGAGCCGCCAAACAAGCACGTCGATGCTCGTCACTGCCGTGTGCGTCGTCAGCGCCAGCGTGTCCATATTGACGCAGTACTTGAACAACTCGTCTCATACCAGCCACTTTTGGGCGACCACCACGACAGTCATCGTGTCTTCGTAATTCTGCTTGCCAAGCACGACAGCGTAACGCACGTCAAGAACACACTCCATCTCATCAGCATCGGTCCAGGAGACAGCAAGGAGTGCGACAGCAACTAATCAACGGTCGTAGTGCACGGGCACTCCCGGTAGCAAAGCAAGTGCATTTCAACACAAACTGCGTTTGTGGTGGGTACAATTCTCCTTGGCCCTCCTGGGGTGATGTTGAATAATAATCTGGATCGGAGCAACCTGGAGGGTCCAGACTTCATCGAAGTGTGCGAGTCATCTTGGCCCCCCTGGGAGGATGTTGCAGAATATTCTCTGAGAGCGGGCCAGACTATCGAAGTGGACGAAGTTGAAATAGGCACGCGCTAGGAATGGACAGCTTGGGCTCCATGCAGAATAAACGGATCGTCTCCGTCTAACGGTTATTTTGTTACAATGACAATCAACAACCCATTGTGGTAGGTGAAGTAATTGACATTAGAACTCGACACAGCAGATGGCTTGTGGCAGCCATCTCTCTGCTTTGCATGGCTCATGATATTGTTACAGCGAGCTGTGATGAAATGGTTTTATTTACAAGAGGTGAGCGATGGTCGTTCGCGGCGGCGCACTGCAATCGTGCCAAGACTCTTTGTCTTCCTCTCCTTCTCTTCTCTGCCTTTTACTAGTCCGTTACATTCCCCCGCAAGCAGACGAAGCCAGTAGGGCGGGTTATGATGCACGAGGAGGGTAGAAAGGTTTCAGGCGAGCAATGTGTGTGAGCTGCGTTCTGCTCGATCGTCGACCATCAGACAAAAGACGAACTATTACATAAGCGAGCTGGCTGAGACGCTCCAAAACTACAAATGGGCCTGAATATCGTGACAGAAGCTTTTGACACAATCAACGCTTGCGTTGCGGTGTCCAAAGTAACACCAAGTCGCCTTTTTCAAATAATACCGGTTCGTGAAGGTCGTCGTATTGTTCCTTCGAATGACGTTGAGAGGCAAGAGTCCGAAGACGAGCGATGCGACGGACTTCTTCCGCGAGGCACAGGGTGTTCGATACAGAGTCGTCATTGTGTAGAATGAAGGGTAAGAAAGTGTCTAGAGGGCTTAGTGGCAACTTGGCGTACAACAGATAAAATGGGCTGAAGTTCGTTGTTTCATGTTTCGCCGTGTTGTACGCGTACGAGATAAAAGGCAGCACTTCGTCCCAGTTCTTGTGATTGGAAGAGACCGACATGGCAAGCATGTTGGTCAGCGTTGTGTTTGTCTGTTCAACAAGGCCATTCGTCTGCGGATTGTACGGTGTGGAATGACGGAACTGTGTCGTGCACATGCGTAGTAATTCTTCAACAGCATCAGCAGTGAATTGACGGCCACGGTCGCTAATAATAGGTCCGTTCGATTCACCTGCACTACTTGAAACCGGTTTAGGTTGGTGCCCGAGAGGTGCACGATGGGTGGGTGGCTAGTTCAGAAGAGTAGCAGCGGTGCCGACACAGCCGGATAGCAGCGCCACGCAGAATCGAATGCCAAAGTGCAGTTGTTGTGCCATGTCTTCTGCTGTGTTCCAAACAAGGGCGCGGGTGCATGTGTGTCGTGTCAGGTGTGCGTCCCTGTGTGTGTGTTGTTTTCGTTTGTGAATTAACATTCTCCCGCCTGCCGCTTTTCTCTACCGAGATGAACTCTGGCCTACTTTCAACTG